CTATTTTCCTAGTGATTTTCCGCACAAGTTTAAGGTATTTTTTAAAATATCCTGGAAGATGCATTGACAGTCCTGTCAAGTGGTAAAAGCCACTTCCGAGAGATCTATTTAAATGAGCTTAAAAAAAAATTTTATTTTATTTTGCTAAGTACGCTGGATCAAGTGCAATCCATGGACACCACATATCTAGCTAGGCCCCTAGGGCTGAAAGTCTTCTCCAGTGTGTTGAGCAAATATAAATACTGAGAAGATACTCGGCCTGCATACCTGTGGTCTATGGATTGCATTTAATTCGGCGGCGGCGTAATGCAGAATTATGCGAGATAATTGATAATAAGTAAAAATGCAAATGTCATTAAAATTTTGAATATTATAAAGTTTTGCCAACTCCTTAAATCTTATGTTTAAAAGAGTGTGACAAATAAATAAAATGTGCCTTCCTCATGATTTATACTACAAAGATAACATAAAACCATCATTACTTTATCTTCAGACCATCTACAGTAGCTCTGCTATCCAAAGTGAGAGTTAAAGTGAAGTTAAAATTGTATAGTGCTCACCAAATCTGATTTTCTGACGTAATTTTCTATATTCATTTTTGTTTTTATGTATTATGAGCGATTTATTATTATTATTATTATTATTATTATTGTTATTATGGCAGGTTTTTGGACAGAACGGCAAAAAACCAAAACGGCAATAAGTCAAAACGGCAATGACCAAAACGCCAAAAAACCAAAACGGCAACACTTTTCAACCAGAACGGCAATAAGTCAAAACGGCATGATCAAAAGGGCAATAGACCTAAATCAAAACGGCAATAAACCAAAATGGCAACACTTCCAGAATTTATGTCAAAAGTTAAAAAGCGGGAAAGAAAAAAAAAAAACACTATAAAGAACAACAATAATAATAATAAATAATGATAATAATGGTAATAATAATAATAATAATATTTAACATAAAAATTCAATTTATGTCATAAAAGTAAAAATGCGCGAAAGAAAAAATAATAATAAATAACACTATATAGAACAACAACATTAATAATAATAATAATAGTAATAATAATAATAATAAAAATAACATACAATACAATTCATTAGTAAAAAGATTGGGAAACACAATGTAATATAAAATATAAAAGCAGTGAACATTTAAATGATTAAAACCTTAAAATACAGATAAAATGAGCTAAACAATATTATGCCATGAAAGTAAAAAAACGGGAAAGAAAAAATAATAATAATAATACTGTAAATAACACTTTAAAATACTATAGGCCTAGTCATGGATGTGTAAAAAAAAAAACATTAACAAAAAACAAAACTCAATTCAGAAAATTATAAAATGCTGCCCGCGCCCCATGGCGCTTTATTCTTGGCATTGATTTTTGCTCCTTTGCCGTTTTGGTCTATGCCTATTGCCGTTTTGGTTGTTGTCATTGCCGTTTTGGTCTGTTGCCGTTTTGGTATCATTATTGTTATTATTATTATTATTATTATTATTATTATTATTATTATTATTATTATTATTATTATTATTATTTTATTTTTATTATTATTATTATTATTATTAATATTTTATTTAGCCATCATTTGAGAAATTAATTTTAACTTTAAATTAAAAATAACATTTTATTGGTGAATGAAATGGTTAAATGCTTTAAACTTATAATTAGGAAGAAATACATATCTTTTTGTTGGAGATTTCAAGGCAGCGGTGGGCGTAATAAAACTGAGGAAGAACTTTTATTTTTTTCTGACTTTTCCATTTTTCGTGATTGCGGGTGTGCTAATTGGCCAAAAATGCAATCTTATCTTTATGTATACGAAATCATCATTATAGAGGCTACAAAAAATGTAGCCTTGAAAAGGCTTCAGAAATTTGCCGACAGCCGATCCGACATGTCCGACTGGGGTTCGAAACCAAGAGGCCGACTAGAGCTTCGCTCCGAGTCCCAGAGTAAAAAAATCCCTGGTACAGGGTTCATAGGGAGAATTGTTATGACTTTATGGTCCAAATTACTACAGTGCTACTACCACAATACTAGACTAGTATACTGTAGGATTGGCAATCAAAATACTGTAATGTAATATTTGGATAGGCCAATTATATTTTTTTTAATTTTTGATCTGACGACCTTGCCAGGTGCCAGGGGGTTCATGCCTGTCCAAAGGGAGGGCAAATGCCTTCCCTGCCCCCTTGCTGGTGCCACCACTGCCCACATCACAAGGTGTTTTTTATAAGCACTATATCTATTGCACTGGTGTTGACCCTAGAGTTCTAATCTTGGCAACCACTGTTCATATATATGATATGATAGAAATAAACTATAAATTCTTTTGCGTTAATGCTCTAAGATATAAATAAATTTTTAAATGTAAAGAGGAATCTGCGAGTACTGCATGAAAGAAATAGGTGCCCCAGCCAGGATTCGAACCCGGGACCTTCTGTCTATGCGGATGCCTTGAGGCTTTGTTGGGAATTCAAATCCGATTGAAGCATTTATTTCCTTCACGCCCAACAATCTTTGACTAGAAAACCCATTATTTCTTATGGGCTGGCACCAATCTTGAGTCAAAAGTAATATTGGTAAGTAGCATAAAATTGTATAAAAGCAATTCATA